CTTGACTGTACTGTACAAGTGAAGGAAAATGAACACTGATATGAAGAAAACAACATTGACTGTTACTTTACCTGATGGATCCAGCAAGAAGGGGATTAAATGCATACAACCAATCATGTACTTCTTTATCACTGCCAGTTTGTAAGAGGAAGCCACGGAACTTAGTACATACAGAAAATGTGTTAGGAGTCTAAAGAAAAAAAAAATGAGATCTTGTCAAAGTGACCTACTATATGTATGAATTTCTTCAGCTCATGACTTTGATACAGTTCTAACATAGCTTAATTGTTTTCATCAATTATCACAGGAGTCATAGTCTAAAGTATATTTCTTGAACAGACGTGAGTAAATCAATAAAATTTGTAAAACGAACATCATCATTTCAATTGGATATTATAGAGTGAAATGTTAAGTACAAGTCGTCAAGCCTCAGTTCAGAGAACCTTTTACAAGATCTTTGGATATATTGACATACACTGTCTTTGAGGTTAAAAACGGCCTATTAGTAGTGAACAGGTAAGGTTGACACAGTACAATACAATAAATAAATAAACAAATGCATCACGTCTTTCCTTGTATATGAGAGCTCCACCTGTATGCAGTTATCCAGATGCATGCATATTTAATAGCAAGGCTGCTCCTTCCGCATATAATAGTTTCTTGGGCCTTACAGCCTTGTTTGAGAATGAAAACGTTGCAAACGCATTACAGCCTTTGATTAAATCATTTAAGTTAATAAAAAACATTAGGCAAGAGAGACTATTGACAGCCTACTATTTAAACACAAAAAGGAGCTTTTGTGAAAATAAACCTGCACAGTTTTTCATTAAGTCTGATCAATGCCTGGAGCCAACAATACAAGAAATCATGTTCAAATTGTTAAAACTGACCTTCAACATAGCTTGTTGGTCCTCACTATACAAGATTTGAGCAGTTGCTAAATTGATGAGTCCACGCTCTACTGGATCTTTTTCATGTCCGTAAATAAAAACATACGGACGTCGCACCACAACATATCGGCGATTCCAACCACTCACTTTTTCTTCTAAGAAATTTAAGTAACCTTTTCTTGAAACAATAGGGCTGTGGAGCAAATTATACACAAACAAACAAATAAAATAATTAGTTGTTTCTTTGCTTCAAAATAGAAAGTCAATATGGGTTTCCAAAAATAACTTGCATATAGGCATAAAGGTATGTAAATGATTGTGTTTTTTTTCATGACATGTGACTGCATTCTGACCAATCAGCATGATGATTTCAAACATTAAAGATACAAGCGATTCAAAATAATTTTTTGAAAAAAACTTGCAGTATCACTTATAAAACTTTATTTTTCAGACAAATTTATGTAAATTTTACCAGTTCCAAAAGTATGGTGAAACTTTGTAGCAATGTAGACAAAGTCTAATCAAATCTTAAAATTCTGTTTCATACATAATCATACATCATACATAATTAAATAAGATAATTAAAGATGGTATTTATGGTTGTCCTGACTTCTGTTGAATATATTTTATATATTTTTAATGAAACAATGCTTCACCTATCAAAATAGTTCAAAATTTCACATTTCAGGGACATTTATTTTCAAGTGTTTTTTCGCTTTTATTTAATAGGTTTATGAGAATAGCTTTATATCATAGAGTTTCCAATGATTCAAAGTGAATTTTGACAAGATTGACAACATTCACAGATTTACTCAGTCAGTGTTGCAGGTATTGCCGACTTTAACCTATAAATTTTTACCTGACCCTGACTTCTTCAACCTCTGGCACAAACATAGCTGGTTTCTTGATGTCACTTTTACGTCTGGTATCAATAGACTCAGCATCCGGCGATGCAGTATCCTTCACTGGTGACAAACACCTCAAATCTGGTTGCGTGGCACTTTTCCGTATCGGTTCCGGAGTGCCAAAAGGTGAGCTTCTCGGGGTAGGTAATTTCGGCATCGGTTCAATAGGTTCATATTCTTCTGGAGTCTGTATCAGGATTTCATCATCAATGTCAATTTCAGTTATCTAAAAATTATTCATACAGTGCAAAAACACGTACACACACATACATATATATAGAAGATAAAATAGAGATAGAGAGGAAGGGAAATTATAAAATGAGAGAAGTGTTAGTGAGAGAGATGAGAAATTAATGATGTAACCAGCAATGATATCATGTAGGTGTGAAATAAGTTTGATCCAAATTCAAATTTCTACATAGCAAGTTACTCTATATTATATGCAATGCTTTTTAAAATAGAAATTAAATTTTTCCACTACTGAGTATGTTAGTGAACATATACGCAAAGCATTATGGGAGAGAAATTCAAATTTTCCATTACTGAGTATGTGACTGCACATATATGGGAGAGAAATTCAAATTTTCTATTACTGGGTATGTTACTGAACATATACACAAAGCATTATGGAA